CAATAAAAAACACCAGGTTGAGGAACTACAGAAAGTTCTGTCTTTTGGTAAAAGTTCTAGAGTTTTTCCTTAGGTGTTTAATCCTGGTATTGGCATACAAGCAGAAGCTCTGGTGTGGTCTCACCAGGTGACTGGCTGGTGAGTAGTATTTGGTTTCTTCTGTCCACAAGATTGGTTGGAATTGTGAAGTGAGGTAAGACTGCCAGCTCATGCAGGATAGTCAGAACTGTTTTCACCAGGCAGCAGCTGGGTTTCCCTTCAGCTTCAGCTCTGTTTGGTCCGCTCCTCCCCTAGCAAGATGGAGCAATTCAGTTTTGAATGCTGCCCTCTGTCCCAGGGATCAGCTATGGGATCCACCACCTGCCCTGCTTTGGCCTGTTGCCCCAACCCCACTCTCAGTTTTTGTGTTTTTCCTGATCTCTGTTGTATTTTCATTTTCATTGACTTCCAGGAAATTTTTAATTTCCTCTTTTATTTCATCAATGATCTATTCTTCATTAAGTAATGAGTTATTTAGTTTCCAGCTGTTTGCATGTTTTTTGTCTTTACTTTTGTTGTTGAGTTCTACTTTTACTGCATTGTGATCAGATAGTATGCACGGTATAATTTCTATTTTCTTATATTTGCTGAGACTTGCTTTGTGCCCTAGGATATGATCTATTTTGGAGAAGGTTCCATGGGCTGCTGAGAAGAATGTATATTGTGTAGAGGTTGGATGAAATGTTCTGTAGACATCAACTAGGTCCATTTGATCTATTGCATATTTTAGATCTTGGATTTCTTTATTGATTTTTTGTTTGGATGACCTATCTATTGATGATAATGGGGTGTTAAAGTCTCCAACAACCATTGTGTTAGCATTTATATATGCTTTTAGGTCTTTCAGGGTATGTTTGATGAAATTGGGTGTGTTGATTTTGGGTGCATACAGATTGATGATTATTATTTCCTTTTGATCTATTTCTCCTTTTGTTAGTATGGAATGTCCTTCTTAATCTCGTTTGATCAATGTAGGTTTGAAGTCTACTTTGTCAGAGATAAGTATTGCTACTCCTGCCTGTTTTCGGGGGCCATTGGCTAGGTAAATCTTCTTCCAGCCTTTCATCCTAAGCCTATGCTTATTTCTGTCGGTGAGAAGGGTCTCCTGTAAGCAACAAATTGTTGGATCTTCCTTTTTAATTCATTTCATCAAGTGGTGCCTTTTGATGGGTGAATTAAGTCCATTAACATTAAGCGTTAGTACTGATAGGTATGTGGTGATTCCTGTCATTTAGTTGTCTTAGTTGTTTGAAGGTTTGATTGTGTGTACCTAAGTTGAGGTTACTCTCTACTGTCTTGCTTTTTCTTTTCCTGTGGTTTGGTGCTGCCTGCCTTTTCATGGTTAAGTTGGGTTTCACTTTCTGTGTGCAGAATCCCTTGCAGAATCTTTTGTAGTGGTGGCTTTGTGGTCACATATTGTTTTAGTTTCTGCTTATCATGGAAGACTTTTATTGCTCCATCTATTTGAATGATAGTTTTGCTGGGTAGAGTATCCTGGGGTTGAAGTTATTTCATTAGTGCCGGAAGATCTCACCCACTCTTCTTGCTTTTAATGTTCTGTTTGAGAAGTCTGCTGTGATTTTGATGGGTTTACCTTTGTATGTTACTTTTTTTTCTCTCTTACAGCCTTCAATATTCTTTCCTTAGTTTCTGAACTTGTTGTTTTAATGATGATATGTCGTGGGTAGTTCTATTTTGATCTGGTCTGTTTGGTGTCCTGAGGCCTCTTGCATCTGTATGGGAATATCTTTCTCTAGATTTGGGAAATTTTCCGTTATTATTTTGTTGAATATTTCGCTTCCCTTCTCTTGCACCTCTTCTCCTTCTTCGATGCCCATGATTCTCAAGTTTGGTCTTTTGATGGAGTGGTGAGTTCTTGCATTTTCTTTTCACAGGTCTTGAGTTGTTTAATTAATAGTTCTTCGGTTTTTCCTTTAATTACCATTTCACCTTCAAGTTCTGAGATTCTGTCTTCTGTTTGTTCTATTCTGCTGGATTGGCCTTCCGTTTTGTTTTGCAGTTCTGTTTCATTCTTTTTTCTGAGGTTTTCCATATCCTAGGTTTCTGTTATTTTTGTTTTGTCTTTCTTGCCTCAGTTAGTTGTTCTAATGTTGTCTTTGTCCTGAGTTCATTTATCCGTTTATTCATCATGTTCTCTGTTTCACTTTGGTGTTTATACAGTGCTTCTATGGTTTCCTTTATTTCTTCTTTTGCTTATTCAAGTTCTTTATTTTTGTTGTCTTGGAATTTCTTGAGTGTCTCCTGTACATTTTGGTTGACCCTATCCAGTATCATCTCTATAAAATTCACATTGAGTACTTGTAGTATGTCTTCTTTTAAATTATTCTTGTGGGCTTCATTGGGTCCTTTGGCATGGTTTATCTTCATTTTGTTGGAGTCTGGATCTGAGTTTCTGTTTTCTTCATTCCCCTCTGGTTCCTGTACTAATTTTTTGCTGTGGGGAAACTGGTTTCCCTGTTTTGTCTGTCTTCCCGTCATTGTCTTTGGTGTTGTTACTGTCCCTGTACTGTGTGCAATTAAGTATTTTCTAGCTTGTAATAATAACAATGGTAATTTTTAGAATGAAAGGGTGAGCTGAGATGGAAAGCAAGAAGTTAAAGAAAAGGGGAAAACAAATACACAGACAAGAGGAAGAAAGCAGAACAAGGTTTCAGACAAGTTTCAAAGGTATAAACAGGGAGCTTTAGTGTACTAATTGACAGTAAGCTGAACAGACATTAGAGAGACAGAGAGAGGATTGAAAATCAAAAATAAAAAAATAGGAATAAAAATAAAAAATAAGTAAATGAAAGAAATATCTATATATAAAAATGAATTAAAATAAAATGGAAAATAGAAAATTAAAAAAAAAAAAAAACCAAAAAACCTCCAAGTTCAAATGCAATGAAGTTTCAGTCTTAATAATTTGGGTGTCTGTCTCAGTCTCCAATCCTGGAGATGGTGCCTCAGATGTTGTTCTGTAGTTGTCTCATCAAAGGGAACGCATAAAGTAGAACAAAACTACACAAAAAAAACAAAAACAAAAACAAAAAAACCCACCAAGTGTCCCAAGTTCAAATGCAATACAGTTTCAGTAAGTTTTTCCGCTTGCAGTTGTAATTTGGTTGTTCTCTCATCAAAGGTAGGGAAAAAAGAAAAAAAAGAGTCTGGAGACAGTTCTGAGAATGGTATCTGCAGCTTTGGCTTGCCTGCCTGCTGCTGTCAGCCTGCTGTTGCTGGAGGCGTTATTTATGCAGATCTCTGGGGTGAGCTTAACACTCACCTGGCCCTGCAGGCTTTGTTTGTTCAGAGTTCTCCTGTGCGGGAGCCTCTGCTACAAGCTTTCCCCTTTCCAAGCACTGGGAAAGGTGACACTGCACCCCCGTTTTCAGGCCTGAGTGTTTATTTACAGTTCATGTGGGAGGTGGGTCTTCCCCCCTCTCCTGTGGAGTTTTCCTCCCACTGCCACTTTCACAAGCTTTCCTGCTACTGATTACTGGGCGGTGCTGCTGCTCCTGCCAGCCACCATGTTTGTTTACAGTTCACGTGGGAAGTGGGTCTTCCCTCCTCTCCTGTGGAGTTTTCCTCCCTCTGCCACTCTCACCAGCTTTCCCGCTCCTGGTTGCTGTGTGCACGCCCCCCGCTCCCGCCAGAGCCTCTCCGGCCCACCCGGCTTGTTTATTTACAGTCCCGGAAAGGATTCCCTTCCCCCAATCTTCAGTGCTCAGGGCACCCCACCCTCTTTGCCACTTGTCTTTATTGTTCTTATTGCTTATTACTCAGTTTCTCTTTTTTCCCTGGGTGGAGGTCAGTCTGTCCAGGGGGCTATGCTGCTCTGGCCCAGGCTTGTCTGTGGGGATACTGTGGTACTGTGAAGCTCACCTGGTCCGCGTCTTCCCAAGCCGTCTGGGCGCGGGTGACTGGTGGCCCGGGAGCCCTCCTGGTTTCTCCGTTTAACATGAAGTGGAGATTCTCTGCGCTGGCTGGAGGTGTGGAGGGGTCAAAGTTATGCCTCTTCTCAGTGATTATGCCTGCAAAGTGTGTCTCCAGCGTCTCTCCAAGATTTCACTATAGGAGGCTCGCTTTCTGCTTCCTCCCTCTAGCCGCCATCTTGGAATCTCCCTGGAATGTTCTTGATTAGAGTATGCTATGGTTGGTAAATGGGGTTTGGAAATAGATTCATATACCTCCTGATACAATCTTTATCTTTGAACAATAAGCACTAAGACTGAGGAGAGCAGGAGAAAAGTTTTCTGTGTTCTCTTATTCTTGCTGATGTATCCTCACTCCCCCCAAATAAATAAATAAATAAATAAAATATATACGTAAGTGTGATGCCTTATAAAAGCACAGTTGGAGATATAATTGTTTTATTATGTTCAAATTTTTGTAATATATATATATTTTTCTTACTTGTGAAAATACATAAATGGAACTTAGGGAGACACTATATTTCTTTATTTTATATATTGTCCCATATGGATGAAAAGTAGCAAGTGCCTATTGGGGTCTAGGAGGTAAGTTAAATGAGTGAATGAGGCTTATGTGTACAGGAATGAAAAGTGGCAGAGAATTCATGCCCTGTACAAAGGTGAGAGCAAATTTTGAACTTGGATTGTTGCCATGGGAAAATGTGGGCCTAACTGTGATGCATTTTCTGATTTTTCAAGAAAAGCCATTAATTTGCATTTTTGTGCTATCTTTATTTTTATTGGATGCCTACTAAACAAAATCAGTGCAAAACACTTTGCAGGACAAAGAAAACACTCCTGTAGGTGGGATCTTGCTAATAAGTCAGCAGTTTTTGACTTTCTGGAATGTAACACTGTACTTAATTCTTACTGCCTTCTTCAAGGGGTCATACAGATCTACTAGGGCAAAATGCTGCAAGATTTCTGAAGACAGATGTTTACCACACTGTTACACCTTTCATGGTTCTCACTGGTCTATTCTTGTCTCAGGGTATGGGCAGACAGGTCCCATGTCTCAACGAGCTGGTTATGATGCTGTTGCGTCTGCTATTTCTGGTCTGATGCACATCACAGGGCCTGAGGTAGGTGCTCTTCTAAGAATATTCATAATTTCCCTTTATATTCCAGAGATATTTTCCTTTTCATTAATCCTTAGAATTAAACTCAACTTCATTTTAGAAAGAAACCAGGAAAAGTAAATGACTTATTAAGGTAAGACAGAAGTGTGGTCATTATAAATATACTGGAGCCTAAACTTCAATACTGACTCATGGAAAAGACTAATATTTTTAACAAGAAGGTGGTGAGCACATTTTCTATATTTATTTTGTTTTTAAAGCATAATCATCTTTGTGATATTTGGAAATATTTCTTTGTGAAATAGACTGGCTAAGACTGGATCATAGTTATCCATTTTTTTGCCATAATACCTGTCATTTGATATGTTCACATAGCAAAAGTTTCTTTTTTCTCTTGGAATATTATAAGTAGTTGTGTGTTTGACAATTTGTTACTTAGTGTCAGATGTAGCTGTGTCTGACAATAGAGTCATGTGCATTAGAGTCTGACAATAAAGGAATTATTTGATACTATACCAGTCTCTCTCCATTGATACTATATTGGAAGTTACTAAAAAAGTGTATTGATGGCTAAATTGTGGTTGGCTAGATCAGAATATGGATTCTTGGGGAAAAGAGTATGAACAGCCTTAAAGTAAAACAAAACAATATGAAGGCCTACCAAATAAGAATATTAAAAGGCATCCATTTAAAAATAAATGGGATTAATATGCATAAAAAACTTGTTCTGGCAGGCATTCTTTCCCTGACTTACTTTATTAAGTTAATTCTTTAGGAAATATTGCTGTAGTGTTGGGATAAACTGAGGTACAATGACTTCAACTTTCCTCTTTAGCAACCTTTACTTCTTTTAAATTCAAAGCAGCTGTGGGGTTTTAATGTCTTAAGAAGTAAGGTCTTTTGTATTTTCATCCTCTTCTGCTGTTCATTTTTGTAAGGCACAGAAAAAAAATATGTGGCCTTTTCTTAAAATATTCTGTGGTTGGTTTTCTTTCCATCTGTTGAGAAAATGGAGCATGGACATCTCTCTCTTTTCTTTATCCCATAGTCTCTCATATGGCCAAGATGACATTATTGTGAGTGCTTTTATTTAAGGGCACTGAATTCAGTTGGGAACATGTGAAAACATCTGGGACTTTTAAGTTTGTTATTCAAATGACAGAATGAATTAAAAACTATTGAGGTGAAGGACTTCTGTGGTTCCTTTGGTGCACTGCTCTATAGTTTAACTGGGATAACCACACAGTATATATGTAATACAATAATTTACCAGTCAGCAACAGCCTTTCTGTCTTATATTATCCTACATGGGTGACTTTCCTTCTGGTTAAGCAAATTATAAATTTTATTGAGCACTTCATACGTGCCAAATGATTTATATACTTCATATGGATAGTACAATTAACTCCCATATACTGTATTTTGTTCACCTGGTTGTAATTCTCACTTTTTAAATCATTCATTGGTTCATTGCATGCATTCCTTACTGTATTGGGATTGGGAAGGCATTGTGATTAAGCAGGGAACAGGACAGGCACAGTCCTTGTGCTCCTGAAGCTCTCAAGTGGAGAAGGCAAACTTTAACAGAAAATATTCATCACATACAAACGAAAGGGCTTTGAAGAAGAGTACAGGGTGCTATTAACATATATAATAGTATACCTTGGAGAATTATTATACTTGTAAAGATCTCCACAAAAGGTTTGACAGCAAAAAATAAAAGCAGACTAAAAGATAATTAGGTCATGCTGGGTGTTTCCCCTAAGAAGGCTGTTTTTTTCTTATTTTATCAGCAATGTACTACAATCTCTAATCTCTAAGCCTCTGAGCAGAGGCTGCACAGGAAGGGGCACTTAGAAAAGCCTGGTGAAATTGTTAGTTTGCCAGTGCACACGCACTATTTCTACTTGGAAATTGAGTGATGTTCGAAGGTATACAGTAGTGCCAAAGTGAAAAACTGAAAGTACCTGACTTTTCAGTAATGTCACATTTGAGCCCAGGCTTCATTGTTGTTAGGAGGCTTTACCCCATCATCCTGTGCAGCAGGAGCCTAGCCTTTTCAGGATGGTCAGTCAGAAAGTTTCTCAGAGGGCCAGATATTTAAGGTGAAAACTGATTAGTATTAGCTTGATGACCAGAGGGCAGCACCATGCACCATTCCTACATGCTAGAGAGTCTGGTAGGTTTGAGGAGTCAAAAGAATGCCAGTGTCACTGGATTATTGTGAATTAGCAATGAAGGGGACAGAAAGAGGTTGAAGAGGGAGGGAGTGGTGACTAAATTGTTTGTAGACATATTACTTAATAGTTTGATGAGACGAGAAAGTACATTATTATATACAATTTTAAGAGATGTTTTCATGTATTTCTACTTGGAAATTGAGTGATGTTCGAAGGTATACAGTAGTGCCAAAGTGAAAAACTGAAAGTACCTGATTTTTCAGTAATGGAGTAATAATGCATTCTTATCAAAAGGGAGGATACCTGTGTATGGTACAGGATAAAATTTATGAAAGCAGTCTTTATGATGAGATTAAAGGCAAACTAGTTACAGTTGACCACCACTCAGTCTAAAATCCTATGCTATAGGGTAGTAAGGTAAGATTCATACTTGATTATGGAGAGAAAGAGAACTGATTTTGAGTACTTACACTGCTATGCTAGGTGTTTTACCTGTTATTATCTCTTTTGATCCTCACATTGCTCCTTCAAGTTAGGTATTGATAAATTCTATAACTGAAGCTAAGAGGCTTAAATAACTTGTCTAGAGATTCAAGTGTGCAAAGTGAACAGCCAGGCTTTGAACCCAGGCATGTCTTCCTCCTGGAATACTCTTTCTACGCTCCATGATGGTTGATCTTTGCTTTGGTCACTGCTGTATCCCTGTGCATAGATTAGAGCCTTAGGGGATGAACCAAACCAGGATGGATTGTATGCATATATGGAAATGTCATAAAGAAACCCCTGTACAACTATTATAAACTAAGAAAAATGTTTAAAAAACCGATAAATGTATGTTGAATGAATGAATAAATGAACACCTTTTGTTGTGTTATATGATCTTGTACATATGATATCGATTTCTGTTTCATGAAGTACATCTGAAAGTGAGCCTCATATACCTTCTGTACAAGATAATGTAAAGATCAAATACAATATCTTTGAAAATATATAAAATTTATTTAAAAATTTGTGCTTTTATAGAACATATAAAATATAAAATTATGTAGACTGTAAGGCAGTAGACATATGAATCATCAGTTTTTAGTATAGCTATAGATTTCTGAACTCCACGATCAGAACTACTGATTTGTGGGTAGAGCCCACAAATATGCATGTTTAATGATGGCCCCAAATGCTTCTGATAGAGGTGGTTCATGGACCACATTTAGAGACAGATATAGAAAGTATTATTATTATTGGAATCTCTTTTTCATTAGAAACAGCAGATACTCTTTCATAGGCTCAAGCAGAAGGTCGAGCCTATGAAAGGTCTCTATCCTATGTTTAAATTATAATCTTGTGCTTTTAGTGAAATCATATTCCCTTTTTCCATATTCATGGCACTATGATAACCAATTATTACACAAAAGAGAACATCTATCTATCTAATTTTTTTATGCATAGGGAATATAGAGAGGGGATTGGAGATGAAATCAGAAAGTGTGAGAGATTAGAAAATAAATGATCCAGACATATGCAATATGTTTCTAAATTACACAACACTTCAACATTATGAAGAATGGTACTGATCAAACAGTGAACAAGATGTTTTGGTCTTATGGGTATAGTATTATATTAGGTACCATAATAAGTTACTCGTATAAATAACAGTTTTATTCACTAGATCAGAAATAAACTTATGGAAAAATTAGAAAAATGGAAAACTGCATAAATTAAGTGGTATACTACATCATAGACAATACAGAAAACTGTAAAATAGAGATCTCTAGCTTTTCCTGGAGGATAAACAGCTTTGGAAAACCTATGAATTTTATGATCCTAGAAGCTTGAGGCCAAGGACTGTGTGTGTGTGTGTGTGTGTGTGTGTGTGTGTGTGTGTGAGAGAGAGAGAGAGAGAGAGAGAGAGAGAGAGAGAGAGAGAGAGAGGTGTGATGTTGGCAATGAAGTTACTTTGCAAGTAACAGATTGGCAGAGGTGTGAGGGCAAGTTAGTATGGTGTCAGTTGCTGTTTCTATGAGAACTAGTGTAGGAGTAGCTTCTTATTTTGTTTTATGCTCAGTACAATAGGTGCTTTTCAAAAAATTTAATTTTTTTCTAAATCAATTTATGACTTACATTGAATCTATTGGAGAGAAGTTATTAAAATTTGAAGAGTTGAGATATAAATGTGGTTTAGAATAGGGCTTCAAGGAAGTGGTGGAGCTTGAATTGCTTGGTACCTTGAAAGATGGATAGAGTTCAGATTAATTGAGACATTTCTGGTGGAAATCGCAGAGTGAGTAAAGATAGTGAAGGGAGAAGGAATCAGATATATTCAGGAAAAGCAATAGGCCAATTATGGAAGAGTTCAGAGTTTAAGCTTTATAGCAGCATGCAACGGTTGGTTGAGCCCATACTTCAGAAAGTCCCCAAAGTCAAGTGAAGTTGTGATGTTGTTTGCTCACAGTGCAGTTAGGGATACTTTTTTCAGAAGGGAATGACATAATGAAAACCATGTTTCTTAAGATTAGTTTGGTTTAAGTGTGCAGGATGAATTAATCAAGTTTACAAGCATTGCTTCCTAGATGTTTATCTCCCCTTTTAAAAACTAAAGAAACACAATTACACAAAGAGAAAAATGCTCTTACATTATTGCCAATAGGCACTATATTCTATCTTAGTTTATATTTTATTACTTTTTAACGAAGGTATTACATTTGAATAATACTAAATCCATAAGGTACATAATTAGGTTGACCATATACTTTATACAAAACAGGACACTTTTAAGAGTGCAAGAGGGCTTCTATCTAATAACATTGATACATAAACGGGGCCTATCTTTTCCCTTCTGAAGCTAAGAGTCTACAATATAAATCTCTCTCTCTTTTTGTATTTTTTTCTGTTCCCAACCCAGCTTTTCCTTAGAGGCAATCAGTATTATCACTTTTATT